TGGGGAAGTCTACAAGTGATTTTGGGGTTCAGAAATAAAGCTGTTCTGTATTTGAATCCTGCTCTGTATTTGAACTCCCAGTTGTCTTGTTCTACTCATCAGAATTAGTTAATATACTGACGGGGCCAGAACCAGCTACATTATTTGAGGTTCCCAGAGCACAATAAAAATATAGGGCCCCTTGTTCAAAAAGTACTAAGAATATCAAAACGGCTACTATAGAACACTAAATCAAAAACAGAACTCTGTGTGACTGTGCAGAGTACAAGCCCGTGAAGCGAGCCCTGGACAGGGCTAACGTGAGGATCCAAAAGGAGAAATAGATAATAACAGATTCCATTCTTAAAACAACTAACCAAAACTAAGCACATGGGTAAGTATTACAGCAGTCTTACTAGCCTGAAAACAGCACTGACGCTCCATTTGCTTTAAGCAACTCTTGACAAACCTAATTAATTTTAATTTAGATTATCTTCAGAATCCATAGACCACAATTGATTGTGAGTGAATCAGATTTTAATGATAACAAAAATTTATATTTAAATGTCAAAAGTATAGAAGAAAAGACATCTCCAAGTATCGAATACCTGAGCTCAAGGGAGGTTTGAAAAAAGAACTTTTCTTTAAAATATTTTGCTAAATTCGTATATATTAAAGAAGAAGCGTAGATTGTAAATATGCCCATAATTCTCCACTCTTCCAATAAAGAGGTATTTCCCCACTCCTTTGAGGTGAGTTGACCAAAGCCAATAGGCATTAGAAATATCACACAGAAAGAGGCTTGAAAAGTACTTTTGCATTGGGACCTGTAGCCATCAGGTGAATAAGCCCAGGCCAGCCTGCTAGACCATGAGAGACATGTGGCCCAATTATCCCAGCTAAGTGCATGCCATCTGCCAAATATGTGACTAGGTCATCCAGTCCCCAAGCTGAGCCACCAGCTGACCAGAGACATATGAATGAGCCCAGGCCAAGATCAGCCAAGCCTGGCCCAGATCAACAGAACTGCCCAGCTGATCCAGAGACTCATGAACAATAAATAATGAATTGACAAATTGAACTGACATTGTTTTAAGCCACCAAGGTCTGGGAGGGTTAGTGATACAGTAAAAATGCTAATATGATACAAGAAGCATTTTAGCTCTGTGGAGAAGAATGCATTAAACAATAAGCAGGGACTGAGACAACTAGCTCACCATTTTTAGTGGGGAGAGATTAGATTCCTAATAAATTACATAATAAATTCCAGATGGATTTAAAAAGTATATATAAAGAATGACAGCATAAAAATGTTAGAATACATTATAAATTGATATTCAAGTACTCTTGGTAATAGGGAAGGATTTTCTAGGCAGAGAAAACTAAAGGAAAAGATGAATAGATTTTACTGTGCAAATATTTTTTAGGCTTTACATGTCAAAAATACATTATAAGTAAAAATCATATGCAAATGACAAATTGGTAAAACTTACTTCGCATATAAGATAGGTACAGATAGATACCTAATCTGTGTACAAAGCATTTTTATGCATGACAAAAGTATGATGAAAGATTACCACTATTAATATGCACAAAATAATAAGAAAAGATGAACAACTTGATAGAATATTGAACAAAGGACATACAAATATAAATCACAAAAAAGAAATACAAATGGCCAATTAACATGTGAAAAACGGTCAACCTCATTGGTAAGCAAAGGAATAAAGTAAAACAATAAGCAAATTACCATTTCAGTTAAAAATTGTACAGATCAAAATAAATAATAATACCTAGAAAAGCAGACACTTTCACATACTGCTGGTAGAATTATAATTTGGTACTATACTTCTGCAAGGCAATGTGTATGTGAGTATGCTGCTATGTGTATGTGTGTGTGTGTGTGTGTGTGTGTGTGTGTGTGCTTCGTGGAGAACACTTTGCTGAAAAATTAAAAGAGCCCTTCACATGAGGGAAAAAAAGACTGCAAATAGGTAGCAGATCTAATTTTAAACCGGTACAGTAGGAAAATACTTTAAAAATCTAGTAACAATCATGCAATGGAGTTACGCCACAGAGAGTGAGAATGCGCTCTAGCATGGCTCGTGGCATAAAGATAAGAAAAACACTAAAAGGAATGTATATAATAATGAGCTATGTGATATACCTGTTCAATCACAGTAGAGTTTTCTAAAAGGGATTTTTCTCAATGTTAGATTCAACATCAAGACTATTATTAATATTTTTCCTTTAATAAACTGTGGCTTGTCCATACTACAGACTGCCATATTATAATATATACTACTATAACCATTAAAAATAGAGAAGTATATCTATGCATTAATATGGAAAGAGCTATAGTACATATTGTTAGATGAAAAAGAAAAAATATAGATTAATATATATGGTATGATACTTTTTATGTAGTTTTCTTTTTAGCCTGACAAAATAATATTTCATTTCTAAATGCAAAAAAAAATCTGGAAACACACTAAAACAGATAAGAGTGATTACATTTCTGAGCAGATGATAAAGGACCAAGATGGGGAATTTAGCATTATGTGTAATGTAACTTGTATTCATGTATTATGTCATTAAAAATTAACTAAAAAGAATTAAAATGGACTTTATTATGCTCAAGAAACTTACTGAACTATCAACACCTCACTGTAATTTAACACCAAAATACATAATAAAATTGCATGGTAAGGCACATTAAAACTAAGTCAAATTTCTTACAGTATTCATATTTTTCCTTCAAAATCTTGTTCATTCTTTTTGTTAATCTAAAAAGAATGGGGACTTAAAAATATACATTCAAGTGAAAACCCATGGTTTTGGTCATCTTGTCTATAATATTACAAATCATGGAAAACCCCAACCCTGAGGCTAAGCAGAAAAAATAAAAACCTCTGTATTTTAAATGTATAAAAGACAAAGTCTTGCTATATAGAAAATTTGGAAAGCATTAAATCTAGCATCCTCTTCAAATGCCTTAAAATGCCCCTCCATCATTGTGTCTAAAAAGAGACACAGCATCATTAGAGACAGTGTTGAGCATATCTTCATCCTCAAGCATGACATGCAGGTATGGCAGAAGGCCTAAGAATGACAAAGACATGTGATCAAAGAAATATGAGGGAGAAGGTGGAAAAGAAGGAAGAAAATAAAAAACAAACCAAAACAGCCTGGGCACAGTGGCTCACATATGTAATTCCAGCACTTGGGAGACCAAGTGCAAAGATTGTTTGAGATTAGGAGTTTGAGACCAGCCTGAGCAACATAGAGACTCTACAAAAAATTTAATAATTAGCTGGCTGAGACAGGAGGATCACTTGAGCCCAGGAGTTCAAGGTTGCAAGGAGCTATGATTGCATCACTGTACTCCAGCCTGGGTGACAGAGTGACACTCCATCTCTAGACAAAAAAAAAAGGAAAGAAAAACGAACTGAGACAGAGCATTAGTGCCTACTGACCGAAGAGTCATATAATTACTCCAGCACAAAAGAAATTGGCAGTCCATGTTTATAGAACAATTTACAAAGCATTTTCGTATATTAATATATTATGGAATATAAACTTTGTAACAAGATAGTATTAATCCCATTTTATGGAAAGAAATGGAAATTCGGAGAGAGTAAATGAATTTCCAAAAGCCACACAGCTAATAAGTCACGGCATTGAATTCCAAGCCCAGTGTGCTTTCCAATATCCTACTACTGCTATAGACTGTCCCTCAAACTGCTACTGATTTTCAAATAACCATGGAAATTTCAAGATGCAAATATATTATCAATATAAACATAGTAAGCTAATTTTTCATTCCCCTAGGAAAACCAATTCTGAAAAAAAAAATCTGATTTGTCCTTTCAAATTCAACAAAAAGGTGTAGGGAAGGGGAGTAGGAAGAGAATGTGGTGATAAAGGGCAACATGGGGAAGTCTTGCAGTCCAAAAGCTGTTTAGTACCTGGAATGTGGGGGTGGATACATGAGTCTACACATGATAAAACTGTATAGAACTTAATACACACACCCTCATAAATGAGTACAAGTAAATCTGAATAAGACCTGTGGATTTTATCAATGTCAATAACCTGCTTATGATATAACATAGTTTTGCAAAATGTTATCACTGAAGGAAAGTGGGTAGAGGATACATGGGATCTCTCTATGTTATTTGTTACAATTGCATGGGAATATACAATTATCTCATTTAAACATTCAATTTAAAAAATCAACAGACTATTCATACCACCAACACTAATTTTGAAACAGAATGGTGACATTGTGTAGAAATATGAAAAGACAACATGTAGTCATTCAAAATCTTCATTATAGTCATTCAAAGACTTCAGTATAGTGGAAGTGGTAGAGGCCTTACTCAAGAAATTAAAATTTTAAAAATTATTTTTTCAAGCCAGAAATGATAATTTTCAATAGTTTTAGAAGATACAATGCCTTAACAGTGACAGGCAGCTAACGCTAGCCATGTAAATGATAAGTCATGGGTAGAAGGAGAGTCAGGAAGAAGAAAAATAGTCTTTTGAACTAGAACTTTTTGAACTAGGCTGCTTAAGAATTCCATCTCAAAATATCAATGGATATAGTACTCAAGTATTAGCCAGTTGCTTGGTAAGACAATTAGAGAATTATGGTAATAATTATGGGATGCACCAAGAATTGTCTGGTAATACTAGTTATAACTATTTACCAAGCACACACTATGTGCCTGGCATTGTGCTAATGCCTTTCCATAAATGACTGAAAATCCTCACAACCACCTTGAAAGCTAAGATGTGGAAAATGATGATCTCAGTGTAATTTACCCAAGGACACACAGTTAGAAAGTGGCAGAGCTTCACTTTGAACCTAGGTTTTTCCAACTCTAAAGCCTGCGTGCCGTTCACTGCTCCATAAGGCACAGGAAAGAAATATTTACCTTGATATTCTGGTACATGACTCTAGAGTGAGGGAAAAATCATGTCCGGTAGTAGAAAACTGTCACTGATATTAAACTGACCTGCTTGAAAGTTCCTTCTAGCAAGGTGTCCAGGTGTTGGAGGGGGGCAGGTGTTTTATCTTTGAACCTTGTTAATAGCCGGCGTTGAATGGCCCGAAATTGTACAGCTCTTTCAGATAAGAGTTCTTCTAATTTTTCACCATTTATCCGCAGCTACAATGAAGAATTTCTTAAATTCAGGTTACATGGACACAAAAAAATGTTTAAAGAAAGAATGCAGGCAATGGTGATATAAGTTTGAAAAAGAGTAATGAAATTTAAACATAGAGTTAAGGGAATTAAAACAAAGTGGTGTTTGTTACACAAATACATAGATAAATTCAGTGGAATAGATCAAATGGAAATTCAGTAAAGGTGACCCAGTATCATTTGGGAAAAAATATATTATTTAATAAATGTTTTGTGATAATTGATTATATGGGAAAAATAGAAATCTCTCCCATTCTTTACAGCAAAATCAATTGCAGAGAGATCAACACTTTAGACACAATAAAAGCACTAGAAAAATTAGAATTTTTTATAATATTGACATAGAAAGGCCTTAATTACTATGAGTGAAAAGCCAAATGCCACACTCACACAACTGATAAATTATTAACTAAAAAGAACATTTAATTCTACATGATTAAAAATAATTATAAGCAAAGTGATAAGACAAACAGCAAACTGCAAATTATAATAGCAATAACCACAGAGACAAAGAGTTATGCCCACAATATCTAGAAACATTTACAAATCAATGTGAAAAGGACCACGTCCCAACAGATATCAGTAAGAAAAGCAGCAACAATCCAACAGAAAAATGGGCAAAGTTTTACACAAAAGTTAATACAAATAGCTCTGAAACATACAGCCTTTAACCTAACAATCCCTTCTAGGAATTTATCTGAGATATGATTGTAAAAAGTAATGTACATATAAAGATATTCATTACAAAATTGTTCTATTGTGATTATAGTAAGATATCATTAATAATCACAATGCCCTTTAATAGGGGAATTAGTTAAATAAAGAAGACTATTGTGTAAGTCTGCTAAGCACTGATATGCAATGCTGTCCAATGATGAGTAAATGAAAAAAAGCAAAAAGATACAGAATAGTACATGTAATGGGCTACCATTCATTCTTTTTTAAAAAAAAACAAGAATCTGTATATTAACATAGTTGTAACTGCATAGAATATATCTAGAAAGATACACAAGAAACTGGGCGCCAAACGCTGCCTCCAAAGAGGGGACTGAGTGGTTGAGGAATGAGAATAAAAAACGTCTCTTTTCACTGTAACCCATCTCATAACTTTTAAATTTAATGGTATTAAAATAAATGAAAGCTAGTCAAAGTACGGTAGAAGAAACACTCCATGAGATCAGATCACGTGAACTGCTAATTCAACTTTATAAAACAGTAATAGACTAGTTCTGAAAAAAATATCATGTTCAGAAGTCAAACATTACAGTTTCCATTTCTGGTATCAAACCAAATTCCTTACCTTTTCAGTACATGTATTCTCCAGATACATGATAAAAATTATATATGAAATACAAGTAACTTGGAATTTTGTCAATTTCCTTTAATCCCAATTTTAGAAGCACTAAGTAGCTAACTAAATCAAAGAATATTCTCAAGGAAAAAAAAACCTTTCGTTACCAAAAATTAAGTAATAAAATCAATTTTTTAAAATAACTAAATGTTTTAAAAGAACATCAGCCTAATTATGAATAATTCGCTCTTCTTGTTGTATAATTTGCTACTATAATATTTTATTTCCTGAATTCATCATGAAACACAAAAAAATTAAAAAGATATTCTTAATACTCAGACATCGGCAAGGTTATCATTCCTTTGAATGTATAAATAAGCAGCACTGATTGAAATGTTTTCACATGTCAGAATTTCAACATTTAACAAATATTTATGATCATAAGGCCAAGCACTGTTCCAGGCACTAGGAACTACAGCAATGAATAAATACAGACAAGAATCCCTTGCTTACACTGCAAGGGACACTTGAATTCCAAAACCACCTTAATTCCAAGTTTCAAATCTTATTAATGGATGAAAGCAGAGAGTGGGGACAGAGAACAAAGGAAGTATAATCACATCCCCCTTAATTTATATGTGTAACAAATGAAAGTGCCTTAGTTCACCATATTCTCTAAATCTCTCCTCAGAAAAGAATCACCTCTGATGTGGAAACTCCAAGGAGTTACTAGCTAGTAAATAAGGAGGAAAAACTGTATGTCACATTTATTAGTCAGTAGTATCTAATATTCTCTATTTCAAATACTACAAATATGGAACTAGTGTAATCTTTCTGTGGACTCTATTTCAGAAACCACTAGACCCCAGTTTTGCACAGTGAAGTAAGAGTTTCTTAAAATATATCCAAGAAGATTGCAAAGGTTCTCAATCCTTTGAATACCCAAATATACTCTCCCAAACAGTCCATTTTGGTGACACAATTTGATCAAAGGTGCTGTCCTAGAAAATATTATCATCATAGAGGAGGGGAAACAAATTTAACTTATTTGATAATGACATGATTATTCACAATTGGATTCTACACATCTGAAATTTTCCCTTTATGTTAATACTGCATTAAAAGAAGTCTTCATAGGTGAAAGTCAATGTTCTTAGAGTGTTCAAGGATTGACTGACAAGTTACATCACTGATGTTCTCTCTCTCTCTCTCTCTGAAACACACACACACACCACAGCTAATAAACTGAATGTCTATTGATTCCTTAAAAAGTAATCACTCTCTTACCAATGCTTACTTACTTGAATGATGTTTAAAATGCTCTCAAAATTTCCCTTTTGTATTTCTTATAGAGTCTGTTTATAGATTCTATAAGTGGAGTCTGGTGACTTTATTTTAATACACAGAATTTTTAAAACAATGACTGTCATTGTTCAATCCACTCATAAAACTTGACCTTGGCTATTTCCAAATATCAAATCAATCTTCAAAGGATGAAGATTTGCCATTATTTAGATTCTCAAGAGAATCTAACATAGGCTCTGAAAGTAGTTCCAAAGAAGAAATGCAAAAATATTCAGAGCAACAAAGTTACTGTCAAATCTCATTTATTTAGACATTTAATCATTCAGCATTTACTAAGCATCCACTGTGCCAGGTACTGGAGAGTATTTTAAGTGGTTAACCCTCATTCACATGCAGAAGTTCTGGTGTGCTTGTTAAAAAAGAAAAAGAAAAATCACTTTACTTTATAATCACACCTCATTTATGGCCTGCTAGAATTAGTTAGCCAAATGGCCGCCAATAAGCTCAAATAGTTTTAACACTGGGTTATTGGGGTCAAGGGTTAAGTCCCCATGTGGGAGAATTAAATCAGCTCTGTTCCAAGGCCAGACAACATGCCTAGCTCCAGGCAGCCACTCTGTAAATGTCTGTAACTGATCACAAACTGGAAAAAAGAACAGGAATGGATTCACAAAATCCACCATCCACGTAAGAATAACAACTCAAAGCATGCAGCCTAATAGGATGTACACTAAAATTCTTCTATAACATCTATTTCTTTTTTATATATTGAAGGATTATAGATGATATGGCTTATGATCATACACACCTCAAAATGATGATCAATCAATTCGAAATATTCTTGGAGAGGCATAGATCCAGAAAAAGAACAGGCAAAATCTTTGATTCCCTGCTTTTCAAAATATTCTTGAAGGCGAAGAATAAGCTCATTTGTTATGAGCCAAAGATCTTCAAATTGTTCACTCTGAATGCGATATCGTTCTAAGAGAGAAAAAACATTTAAGGAAAAATGCTTATTAACACATAAGTACTGGCTAAAACCATATAAACTATCACTAACTCTGATACGAATACTAAAAGGATAAAGATTTCTTTGTTGTAATATAGGTATGACTCTACTGGCTTTATAAAAACACATCTACTGCTTCAGTGCTGTTTTCTGCATTAACCACTTAATTTTCAAATCTAATTCCAAAGGTAGGTGGTCACAGTGGCAAGCCTTAGGGTGTGGTCCTTTTTATTATCTATTCTTCTGGACATGGCTTTAATCTCACCTACCCAAAGAAACCTTGATTTCTATAGCATTTATGGAAACCCAATATGCACCAGACACTGTTTTAAGCATATAACATACACTTTCTCATTTAAACCTCAACAGCCATGTGGGAGAAATAGTGTTATCTTCATTTTACAAAAAATAAATCCTATTACAGAGTTTAAGTAACTTGCAAAGTCATCCAGCCAGTTAGTAACAGAGCACTGGAACTCTAGATATTAACACAAAGATTAGCTATTAATCTTAACTACCCCACAATATTGCATCTCTCTGAATTTATATATAGACTTACCATGTCTGCAGTTCACTAGGCCCTTAACTATATACAACCATTCCTTCTTATTTAACTTCCCAGGTGATTATATTCAGTCCCTTCAAAAGGATTATACACTTTATGAGATCTAGGACTAAGTCCTGTATTCCATTTAATTCACCATTTACTGAGCATGTATTATGTACAATGTTGTAACGAAAGAAATGTTGGAGTACAGAGGAATTTAGTCTTGCTTAAGGAATCTAAAGCCTAGCTAGGATAGCATGACACATGGACATTTAAAATATTTCTTTATATGCTGTCATATCATTCCCTTTGGAGGTTTCCCAAGTCCTCCCTTCATCCTAGTCTTATTCTACATGCTGACTTCTGCCCAAGATGCCGATTATACATTTTCTTCATTTCTCCCCATTGAAGATAATAGGACCAAGGTCAGAGATAACAGCTTTTATTATACTTTTCTTTGTAAATGTCACTAAAGTTGTAATGCTTTAGACACAGCACAATTGTGGTGGGGTAGGGATAGAGAAGTAGAAGGGAGAATGGTGATGATAATGTACAGTATCAGAATCCTCTAAATGTAGGACAGGCATGGTGGCACATGCCTATAATCCTAGCACTTTGGGAGGCCAAGGCAGGAGGATCGCTTGAGGCCAGGAGTTCAAGACCAGTCTGGACAACATAGCAAGACCCCATCTCTACAAAAAATAAAAATTAGCTGGGCATGGTGGTACACACCTGTAGTCAAAGCTACTTAGGAGGCTGAGGCTGGAGCACCACTTGAGCCCAGAAGTTTGAGGTTGTAGTGAGCTATGATCTCACCACTCGAGTTCAACCTGGGGGACAGAGCAAGACCCGATCTCAAAAAAAAAAAAAAAAAGAATTCTCTAAATGTGGTCTTATCTAAGATAAGTTTGAGATCTAACATATTACATCCAGACTCATAGTCATTCACTTTCCTTCATTTACATAATTCAACACAAGACAGTCAGAATAAAATCAAGAATAAGGGAAGAGGCTCTGCCTTCAAGGAGCTCACAGTAGACTTGAAAAGATGACATGATGGCAGAAGAATGAACACTGCTTCTGCTATCACTGATTCAGGAACATTCATTAGGGCTGACTTTGCCATAGAGGTGCCAGAACTTCTCCCCAGGGGATGCATTACTATTTCCAAGTGTGGGAAGTACTATCACATAGTAGAAGAATTAGATGACAGCGAGGGAGCGGCAAAAGGCAGAAGTCGTGTTAAGAATTGTGTAATAATTATGGATGTTCACACAGCTGGCTTGGGAGAGAGGGAACTTCATGCTGTCTAACGTGTTTTTAAGGGTCTGAGCTCCTTGGTCTTCGGTACTTCCTTGAAAGTCTCCCTGTGAGTTGAATGCAGCGTGAAAGAAAGAAGGGTCATTTCACAAGGTGCAGGCCTGTCTGTCTCTCTAGCTGTCCTGGGACAGATATTTGGTTCCAGCTCAATGGTGCCTCCAAGTCCCAGATATTTGTCTCTCCTGGAGCAGATGTCTGGCTTCTGGCTCAGGGCTGGCTCCAGGATCCTGTTTTTCTGTGTGTCTGTCCATTCTGAGGCAGGTGTTTTCTCCAGACCTGAGCCTCCATCTAGACCCAGGCAACATCCTAGCCTTCCTGGGGAAAGAAGCTGAGCTTGGCCAGCTACATCTCCTTTCACAGCTTTGTGATGTCCCCAAGAGCATCAGAGAGCTCCCTCCAGGGTTCATAAGGTTGAATGAGATCCTTTACAACTCCTAGATTCTGAGATTTTTGCCTTAATATGCTCACTTCCTTTCATGTATATGTATCTTTTAATAAAACACTTAAAATGGTGCTTGACATTTTAAGCACTCAATAAATGTTTCTCATTATCATCATTGTTGCCATTACTTTCCCCAATTTATTGTAAACTAAAGGGCAGGGATTTTATCATAAACTTCTTTAGATCAACATAACACCTAACTAATCAAGTAATTTTCATACAGCAGATAAGGGGGAAAAAGTATCTTCAATAAAATATATTTCCTTAGTATAAAATTTGCTGTCATTTCAAATACAGCCATAAATGTTTACAGAAATATTAACATGTTAATTTTTCAAAGGAAATTTAATTCATTCAGGTTCTAGAAGGATTCTGAATAAGCATCCACATGCAGGTGGAAAAACTTGGGGTACAGCCTAAATATATATTAAGAATAAAATTTCTTATATATGAAATGAAATAAGCCATAGAGAGGAAGTTATTCCATTCACTATAATTTTTCAACAAAAACATGTTACAATATCTTAAAATAGATATACATAAACAACTGGGATTATTATGACATGTTTCAAAGAACTATATCATCTGGCCTCAGATGTAAAAAAATCTATATTTCAAGGCACCCGAGGGAAATGGAGGAGCAAGCCATGGGGATATCGGTGGGAAGCACATTCCAAGCTGAGGGAACTGTAAGTACAAAGGCACGGAGGCAGGAACATCCTTTTAGGAACACTAAAGAGGCCATTTTGGCTGAGTCAACCATTTTATGCTGCACTCTAACAAGATATTACACCAGTTTTTGTTAAATCATCCATGTAGGCATTGCAAGAAAATCTGGAAACAAGGCACAATCAAATATGTCCAGACAACCAATCCACCACAAGTTAGTGTGAAAATTGATCAGAATTTGCCACTGGGGAAAACATGCATAGTATTCTCAGCAGAATACCAACAGTATGCCCAAGATCAGCTGGCCAGGGCTGAGTTCTTGATGGGGAAAGACAAACCAAATTAGCACCTACCCTGATGCCCCTAAAGTGCTGGACTTAAACCTCATTCTCAGCTTATACTGGGCATGGGTGTTGGACAAAAGAAAGCAGGGGATGTTGTAGGCCAGCCAAGAAAGGCAGCAGTGCCCCAAACTCTTCCCCAGAGGAGACAAACGTCCTGTCTTCATTGCCTACAACTGGAGCTCCTTCCCTACTCCTGGCAGACAACAAAATCTCTATTCTGACGAAAAAAATGTGGGCAAGTCTAAACTTTTCATATCTTCTTTTATAAAGATTTGAATTATCTCAACACAGGCCTATGAACTCTCTGAGAGACCCATTTCAATCCTCCATATTGAGCAAACAAAGATAAAGTAACAGATAAAAGTCATGTGCAGTAAGTTCAAAGGAAAGAGACAAATCACAGGAATGAAATTTGCTTTATGAAAGAGAGGCAATGCAAACTATCCTTAGTTTATAGTTTTAACAAAATTCAAGGTAACACTGCATCTATTAATTCATTCAAAAAATACTGAGTGATAAGTGCTAACAGTGAACAGTGAACAATACATACATGGTTCTGATCCTCATCCTAGTGAGAAGGGCAGAAAATGAACAAGTAAATAACATATGAAATAGAACTTATGAAAGTACTATGACACAGAGAAAAAGGGTGCTGTGATAAAGACTAAATGTCTTTATCTGGAGATACTATGGTCAAGGAAGACAACATTGAGAAGGTGACATCAGTGGCAGTACTAACTGCAATAATGATGAAAATAACACTAGCAGCTAAAATTTACTTAGCACTTAGACTGTATCAGGAAATTACTATGTGCTTTTTAGAGATTATTTTATTTGATTCACATATAATATTTTCATACTATTTTATTGCCATTTTATAAATTAAGAAACAGATGGTTAAATAATTTTTCCAAAGTCATTCAGAAGAGTTGTAAGCTAGAGCTGGAATCTAAACTATCAATTTAAGTCTAGACCACACATTCCTAATCATTTTGTGCATAAAGCTTGGACCTTAACGATGGGAAGAACGGCCCAGGTAGAGGGAATGGCAAGCGCAAAGACCTCAGGGCAGAAAAAGACATGTACCAGGAACTTAAAAAAGGTCAGAGTAGGAAGAAAGCACTCCTAGATGAGGATGGACACTAGGCCAGGGTCAGAACACGCAGGGAGACCAATACGAATTGGTAAAGAGTTTGGATATTATTATAAATGCCAAAGATTTTAACCTGGAGGGTGGCATGATATGATTTGTGTTTGTTTCTTTGTTTTTATCACAAGAGCTACCAAGTAGAAAACGAATTAGAAAGGGGAAAGAATAAAGGTACAGTTAGGACATTATAACCATGGTCCAGTCAGATGATGGTACCATATGGAGCAATCAAGAGTATCATGTTAGAAAGGAAACCCCTACTTAACCTCTAAGAAAAACTTAACATCTAGTAAAATTTTAAATCAGTGACTTTAGTAAAAATATCCAATCTTCAATTTCTTCATCTACACAAATGGAAAAATAAAAGACATCTCACAAGGGATTTTTACAAAGATCAAATATAATGCTATATGGCAAAGATCTATACAAATGCGATTTATCTTTGTATTATTAAAATTTAGGTCAAACAAAATTAGATGCTCAAAAATTTTGGACAAAAA